CTTTACATTTCCAACCCTCACAATCAGTCCTGATAACAATCATTCACTATTGTATCACAAGTGACCCTTCTGCATTTCATTTCATCAGCTCCGCCTAGACAGATTATTTACAACAATTTTTAAAGGGGGCAAGAAACAGCTGTCTATCATTTATTATTTACTAAGAATCTACTAGATATTAGAGCATTATATGATGTGCATATTTTATGTACTGAAGCTAATTTAATTGAACTTTGCATTATGAAGTTGTTCATATCCTCATTTCTGGTTCAGGTTTTTAATTATATTGTTGTTGTTAAGTGCCATTGAGTTGGTCCTGACCCATAGTGACCCTGCATAGGGTTTCAAGGTGAGCTTGAACCTGCAACCTGTGGTTCAGACTGATTTTGCAGTCCAGCGCAACACCACACCAGGACTTATCTTAGTCAAATCGCCTTTTACTAATGTCTTTTGCCATTGTTTAAAAGCCACATTCTACATTTATTTACTAGCTAAGTTTAGACAAGCATTTTGCTTGAACATGAATGATGTTTCTTTTGTCACTAGATTCCTAGTTTTTCTAAGAATTGGATTCTGGTGTCCTGATTCCACCCAAAAAATAGCTTCCCGGGTTCATTTGTGAAAGAGACTAGTGATTTTGCTTAATCGTAGACTGAATGGATTTCAGTTTTTATCCTGTTTATCACTAGAAGGAAGTTGGAACCCCAAAGTTCCCACTACACCAGTATACCAGTTGCCATACAGTTGACTCTGACTCTTGATGAGCCCTTGTGTGTCAGAATAGAACTGTGCTCTACATACAGAGCTTTCAATGACTGGGGTTCTGGGCTTGGATTGCCAGGCCTTTTTTCCAAGGCACCTCTGAGTGGATTCAAGCATCCAGCCCTTTGGTTGGTAGTTGAGTGTGTTAACCACCTGGGGACTCCAATATTCTCCTTAGCATGGTATTGGGTAACTAAACTATGGGTAAAGTGGAGGGTCAGCAAAAAATAGGAAGACTCCCAACGAGATGGATTGGCACAGTGGCAGCACCAATGGGCTAAAGGATAACAATCAATGGTGAGGATGGTGCAACACCGGGCAGTGTATTGTTCTGTTGTGCACAGGATCGCGATGAGTCAGACCACTCCATTGCATCTATCAACAACAATGCTAGCTGGGTTAGCATTCTAGCATCTCTAGTTACTAGGGGTGTGACCTTCAGCCAATTTCTCAACTGCTCTGTGCTTCAGTTTTCTTATCTGTAAAATAAGGGTGACAATAGTAACCTCCTTCATAGAACTGTTTTGAGGATTAAATTATGTTTATAACAGTGTCTGTAATATAGTAGGTGTTGTTTATCAATGATTGTTGATTCTTTCCTGGAAGTTATCTTAAAAAGGACAGAATATAGTCACTTATTCTCAACCTTGCTTTAGTGGTAATAGTTTCTTCCCTGATGTATGATTGGTTGGTGATCAGGTATTTCAGACACTGAAAGAATCTGGCACAAACACTTTAAGTAAGGAACCATATTAATAGGATGTTTTCTATTGATTTTGAAAGATTGCTACTATGTTTATGACAGTATATAATCTGAGGAAGTGCAGTGAGAAAATGAGTTTTGATCTTAGATTCACTTGGGTAGTATTAAGCACTTGTACGAAAGAGAGGAGGTAAGTCATTGTAGCTCAGCTGTCATGAAACAGTTCTGCAGAATTTAGTAACATAGTATTGCATGCAGAGAAAATCTGCCATTGGCCAGCCTGTTATGGGGTTGGGATGGGGAACCAAATTCTCTCAGCCTTAAATAAGCCTACGGAGGATTTTCTGCTGAATTTACATCCCTTCCCATCTACACCAAACCTTGAACTACATAGAGATTGAAGGAATAGGTTAATTAATGGTAAACACAAAATATGATTTCACTGAAAGCTATGTTTGACTTAAAAGAAAGATGCAATGCTTTTTAGTATCGGGTGGCAAAAACTAAGAGCAAGAACCCCAAGCCGCACCCACTACCTACGAGAAGTATACACAGGGTCTTCACTGCGTATAGACCCTAAGGGATAGAATAGAACTGCCCCATAGGATGTCCAAGGCTATAAACCTGTATAAAAGCACACTACCACATCTTTCTCCCGTCGAGTGCTTAGTGGGTTCATAACCTCAGACCTTTTGGTTAACAGCCACCAGGGATCCCAAAACTATGTAGTTGTTGTTAAGTGCTGCCAGGTTGATTCCAACTCATAGTGACCCTGTAGAGGGTCTCTGAGGAGCAGCTAGTGAGCTTGAACCGCCAACCTTGTGGTTCAAGCCGACCTTGTAGTCCAGTGCATTAACCCACAGAGCCACAGCAGGACTTGTAAAGCCCCATCCTCAGGGAGTAATTATGTCACTTACTGGAATTCTCCAATTACCATTGTCCCCTAGCCGCTCTCTTCCTTCTATCTACCACTATTCATAGGTTTTCTTGTACTTTTAGTATGTTTTCAGTTCTTCAACTCTTTATTTCTACTCTTATGATCACATTGAGCTCATAGATTGGACTTTATTAACTATTTTATCCTCATTGTATGGAACTTAGTGTGTGAAGGATGATTTAAGTTTTACAGAGATGTGAAAAAGAGTCCAACTAGTTTATACGCTTAATTTACTCCTTACTTGTGAAGGCCATTGGAGTAAATGAAAGTATTGGAAAACCAATTTCAGCTCCCATTCCAAAGATTGGTCAAAACCAGTAAAGATAACTTGCAATAGGAAGAACTTTTATTGAAACACCACCATAGAGAAAGTCAGAGAAATGATGCTATTCTAGAAACAGTATGTCTTGATTCATGGGGAGAAAAGCAGAAAGTAAGAGGGGCCTTATTTAGGAACCTAGTTTCAACTTGGCAGCTTAACTTAGGGACCACTCTTCTTAGGGGCTGGAGTTTAGGAAGGCACCCTCTGTTCACTCTTGATATTGTTGACTTTGATGGATTTCTCTTCGATGGTGTGAACTCTGGGTGAGGTAACTTTGCCACGAGGGTCTATTTCTTCAACAACTGTCTTAACCATGGTGGTTTTAGATGACTCTAGAATGACACATGGGAACCGTTAGAATGTACCAAATTCACAAATAGGAAATAACTAACTCATCACCTGAAACATATATAAATGAGCACGAAATGCTCAATACAGCCTTTGCTTACCTTTTATCTGATTTCCTGGCCCTCCGTAGCCTTTTGATTTAACACAAGAGCTGTTAAAATATAGAGAGTTTGCATTAATTATTTCTCTGTCTTTTGCTGAGAAAGTTCAAAAGCAATGATTTCAGATAGGAGTTCACTAAATTCTGAAATAACACTAGAAGAGGCTTTCTATACACATGTTCTAGATCATACAATAAAACCTGCAAAACTGAACATGTACGTGATGGAAGCCTGTCAGAGAAGGTAAATTCAAGCATTCTCTACTAATTGAGAGCAACAGAAAAGTGGTTACATCCTATCAAAGGTGGAAAACTCAAGAGACCCGGAAACACAAGGCAGCCCTGTTGAGTTCTGGTTCTCATAGGTTTCACTGTGTGTACTTTGTGCTTGATTTTAAATAATCATCCCTGAGTGGTGTAAATGCTTAGTGCATTTTGCTACTAACCAAAGGGTTGGAGGTTTGAGTCTCCCCAGAGGTGCCTTGGAAGTAAGACCTAAGCGTCTAGTCTCAAAACATCATCACTGAAACCCTGGGGTACACACTGGCTCTACTGAGGTACATGTGAGCCAACAGCATCTGTTTTTAAAATAATTTCTTCAATGGAAGCAGAACTCACCCATCCTCTCCATCTATGAGGCGGCAGTAGGTCTCAATCTCCTTCTCCAGATGGACCTTGATGTCGAGGAGCTGCTCGTACTCGAGTTTCTGGCCCTCGGTCTCGGTTCTGACCTGATGCAGCTGCTCTTCCAGGGCTCCGATCTGAGCTTGGATCTGGGCGAGCTGGGAGCAGTAGTTGCCTTCGGTCTCAGTCAAGGAGCACTCCAGGGAGTGTTTCTGCGGGTTTATAAAACACAGTTTAGTAGAAATGCCAAGTGTTGCATTCAGAATACAGCAAGGCACATACTTAAGAGATAATCAGAAGAATTATATTTGCAAAATGAATATCCATATTTATCCCAAAGATATCACTTCATCCAAAAGATACCGGATTCATTCAAGAGATATCACAACAATATAAACTGTTGTCGTTTTTTAGAGGCCATATTATTTTTCTATTTGAGAATGGCACACTTAATTGTGAATGTTAACTCATATACTCAGGTGTGCTAGAAAAGATGAAACTGTTTCCTCATAGGGCACAGTCAAAAGACACGCTGCCATGCTATGAATGTAGCCACATATAGCGTATGCTTACAAAGTCTGGCAGAATTTGCCACTTTTTCTGGAAATAAAAGTTCCTCTCCACCTGTCCCCCCTCATTTCTAATCATTTAATGACCTTGTCTCATGAGGATTGTAGTTCTTCAATTAAACAGAAGTCCTATGTTGAATTGCATAAACTTTGCATAAGTAGAATGCCACAAAGGAAAGAATTACTTTTTTAGGTTTTAAATGGTTTGATTCCTTGGCTTGTGAATACGGATGGGTTTCTATAGAGTCACAGAGGAACACTTGCTCTCGTTTTATGTAGAACAGAGGAGAGAGTGCCTCATCCCTTCATGTACAAGTTTTTATAAAAAGTCCCAATTTTGTATATATTCACAGTCTCTTTGTAGCTAAACTGTGGAGGTTTACTAGCTATAGCAGAAAAAGTATGAAATTAGGAGATTTGTTGTTAAGTACCATTGAGTTGATTCCAACTCATAGTGACCCTGTCTAGGGTTTCTGAGGAGTGGCTGGTGGGTTTGAACCACCAACCTTGCAGTTCAAACTGACCTTAAGGTCCAGTGTGTTATCCTGCAGCATCAAACAGAATAGAACCTACTGCAACCAAGTCAATTCGGATTCGTAGTGACCCTGTAGGGCAGTGTAGAACTAATCCCTCGGGTTTCCAAGACTACAGATCTTTAGGAGAGCAGACGGTTTCGTCTTTCTCCCACAGAGTAGCTGGTGGGCTTGATCATTTGACTTGGGAGAGAAGAGCCAAGGTAAAAACTTATCAGCCCAATGTGTAATCTACTACACCACTATGGCTTCCGGAGATAGGACATTTGAAGAGAAGCTTGGATGCCTTCTTATCCAGCTGGGGGACTCTGAGCAAATCACTTACTCTGATTGAATTTCCATTCTTCTTTTGGAAATAATGACATGGTTTCTAATGTGTGCCTTGCCAAGGCTCCCAGGTCTTTGTGAGTGAAAATGCTGGGGTAATAGCCTTAATGAAAAGGTTATGATTATCATGTACACAGTTAGCTTTATAGACAACCTTCATGGCCCTACTTTGTTTCTTGTTTCTGTCATTTAAGAAGTACTTCTAATTAAGTGGTCACAAGAAGCTACACGGAAAATCTAGGAGGGGTGCAAACCAAAATGTTTTTGCTCACCATGGATAGCAGTTTTTGATCATTTGACTTGGGAGAGAAGATCCAAGGTAAAAACTTATTTTTTGAGTATCCCAAAAGAATTGTATTTGCTGATTTATAATGTTTCCCAAGTATTAGCATCTAGGTAGAATTTTCAGGGGTGCATGGTATCTCTGTAATATAAACACCGAACTGCTAACCACAGGTCTCTGGTTTGAGCCCCATCAGTTGCTCAGTGGCAGAAAGATCCGGCTTTCTGTTCCGTAAAGATTTACAACCTTGGAAACCTTAGGGGTCGTTATGAGTCAGAACTGACTCTATGGCATTAACAACAACAACAGGTAGAATTTTCGGGCAAAGAGGATTCTAATGCACAAAATGCAAATGTATCTTATTTCAAGCATGGTGTCAAGTGCCCTTAATCAGACCCTGTTGTGTAGGATTTCTAAGGAGCTGCTGGTGGGTTTGAACTGCCAACCTTGTGGTTAGCAGTGCACTGCTTATCCTACAGAATAAAATCCAAGGTATCATTGGAAGAAAACTCTTATTTATATTTAAATGTCTCCAGCGAATCTGGAATCTGGTTTGTGATGGTTTACTTACCATTGCTAGGAGAGACTGAAGCTCTATCTCCAGGGTTTGCAGAGTCCGTTTCATCTCAGTAAGTTCATTTCGAGCTGAAGTCACAGCCCCAGCATCGTCGGAAATCTGCTGCTGTAGCGATGCACTCTGAAACGTGTTAAGGTATGTTAAGGTATGTTACAGCGTGTTGACGTGTGTTAAGGTGTGTTTAAGGTGAGAGCGCGTCATAGCATTGGGGCTTTACCTTCTCGTTGAACCAGGTCTCCGCATCCCTGCGGTTCTGCTCTGCCAGGTCTTCATACTCAGCTCGCATGTTGTTCAGCAGAACTGTGAGGTCCACTCCCGGTGCCGCGTTCATCTCCACGTTCACGTTCCCGCCAGCTGCACACTGCAGAGCCTTCATTTCCTGAAAGAGATTCAGTTAAGCAAATGAGGATTTAAATATTTTTCAAAGAGCAAGAAGGACTTGATCCATATGCTTAGAATTTGTGTGCGTGTGTGTGTTCTCCATTGATTATCCACGCCAGATGGAAAATTTGGCAAGATCCTTCTTAAAATATTCGTTTCAGATGATATTTTCCCATTAGAAATTAATCTTCAATTTTGGGAGGGAGGTGAATTGTGGGAGTGAGGGAAGTGAGCGTCTACCTCCTGGTGGTTTTTCTTCAGGTAAGCCAGTTCCTCACTCAGAGTCTCCAGCTGTATCTCTAGGTCAGTTCTGCAAAGAGTCAGCTCATCCAGGACTCTGCGCAGACCGTTCATATCCGCTTCCACGCTCTGGTGAAGGGCCAGTTCATTTTCAAACCTTAGAAAAGTGTTTGCAAGTTCCATCACATTAGTCAAATTCATTTCTTAGATCACGGTAAAACTCAAGCTTAGCTTTAATGTTACTTAAAACTTCAGTTAGGGTACCCTTACAGCTGTACACTTATTTATTTGAAGAAAGAGAATGGGAATACTCAAAAGTCTGTTTCATATGACCTTTGCACTAACTTATGCTTGCTCCAAACCTCCTAATACATAATACAGTAAACTCAAGCCTGCAACTCAGCTAGCCATTCCAATATGCATCTGGTTTAAAGTAATCAGACAAGCAAAAATTAAGCATTGAGGCTTCTTCAAACAATCTGAATAAAAGAGGAAAATGCTCAGGTAACTTTTCTTCTGTGTCTTTTTAGCTCTACTCACTTCAGTCGGAAGTCATCAGCGGTCAGTCTTGCATTATCGTTTTGCAGAACAACATTGGCATTACTTGTAGACGCAGAAATGATCTGATAAAGAAGTAGTTAAGAGCAAGAAAATATTAAAAAAAAAAATAATAATTTCAAATTTCCTTAAAGTGAAGCTACCCCTGCCTGACATTATTCTAATATTTCTGGAATTCTGTCTCCAATAATTATGCTGATTCTTTTGAAAGTAGGAAATTTGCATATGGCCTCTATCACTCCCCATCACACCCATAAAAACTCTTTATAGAAAAGCTAATAAATAGATAGCTGGAAATATTGGGTAGCTTTTGATATTTTAAAATTGCTAAAAGCATAAACATGCATATCTAACACCGGATGATGGATAGTCCATATTCAAAGATTAGAGTTTTAATACTAATTATTTTAAATATTTTAATTAATTCATAATGAGCTGCCATCATTTATTGGTTGATGGCCAAGCCTGTTGTTTGTGATAGCCTATGGACTCCTGGTGTGGCGCTGTAGGATAAGCACTGGACTGCAAGGTCAGCAATTCAAATTCAACAGCTGCTCCTTGGAAATTCTGTACAGGATCACTATGAGTCGGAACTGACTCGATAGCACTTAACAATAACAATAACATATTTTGCGTATGTGTGTGGCTAAATGCTCTCATGGGTGTTAACACTCATGATACTGCATTTCTTACCTGGTTCCTAAGGTCTTCAATGATTGGGAAGTATCTGCTGTAGTCATGATCAAGACCTCGGCAAGAACCAGGCCCAAACTTCTCATACCACCCCTTGATCTTTTGCTCCAGGTCGGCGTTGGCCTCTTCTAATGCTCGCACATTGTCCAGGTAGGAAGCCAAGCGGTCATTGAGATTCTGCATGGTCACCTTCTCATTGCCAGAGAGGAGGCCATGTTCATTCCCAGTATAGGCAGCACAGGAAGCATTTCCTACACCCAGCCCCCCACCATAGCTGCCTGCAGATGAGCTGCCCCCAAAGGCACAAGAGAAGCCACTTCCAATGCCTGGCACACCACATGCGTTTCCAGCCCCAAAGCCAGCTCCTCCACTGGGGAGCCTCACAGAGCTGGCACCCCCGCAGGAGCCCAGCCGCCTGGATGCAGAAGAAAAGCGCACAGACATGGTGTCTAGACTGGAGCGTTTGTTCCTGAAGCAAAGCTCTGGTGGTGAATGCTCTATTCAAACAGCTTGCTTGCTTTTATAGACACATTATTAGGGTGTTTCTTGATGAACTTTGCTACCCATAGCAAAATGGTGTTTGCCAGCTCATTGTGAATTATCCATAATTGGGTGGCTTTTTTTCTTAATGAATGTCTTTACCCTACTGTGTCCATTTCTGTAGGTGGATAGTTACCTTGGGGTTATTTCTTATCTCTGGAATGGGACAGGGTGGAGTATTATCAAGATTATTATAGTGATGCATTTTGACTTTAGCATGAGTAATTCTTCCTGTCCTCCAGGCTTCAGGAATAAAAAATTCCTATAAGAATAAAAAAGTGTGATAAATTAATTTCTCCTTTCTTTGCCCAAGCCAACACATTGAGTTTCCTGTGGCCAGTGAAGCATCATAGTGCTATGGTTAATATGATCCTTCTTCCAGATATGCTGAGAGTAATTGGACATCATGGGCTTATAGTAGAGGCCAGGTCCTAAAATGGAAACTGATGAATTAAATGGAATCTCCCTTGGAGACAGAACATTTTCATCTCTACTGACTTTCTGTCTAAGCTCTGTTGCTAACCAGGTTAAACTAAGGAATTGGTGAATCATCTGGACCTCAGTTCTTTCAGCTGTGAAACCAAGAGACTAGAGTTCTAATAGTTGGCTTTTATATCCCTTTTCTGGCTCTGAATTTCTCATTTCTTCCTTTTTCTATTTCTGGAGACATTTTCTGCACCCACCCACTCTACTTTTTACCTCCAACTCACTGTTGATTTTTGGTTCTGCCACTTGACTGAAATGAATCTTTCAAAAGTGACATTAAACCACATCTTTGATATAACGGTTTCTCAGACTCATTCTCCTACACTTTCTTGGTAATGCTTGTACTGACCACCCAGACTTTCTGAACCTCAAGCAATTGGATTTTGAGACATTTCGTTGGTTGATCCTCTTTTCTAATCCTAGCCCCTGTGGTCTGAGTTTTCTCATTCTTGACAGTTTTGAGTTTGATATTCTTGTTTTCTATATATTTTCTCTTGATGATCTCATCTCTTCTCATGCCATTTGCTCTACATAAGTAATTTCTAAACCTACATCTTTATTACTGGTAAAAAGATGATTAGCTGTTGGTGAACTTACCCTGACTTGTGCTCAAAATTATGAAGAAATCTTTAACTACTCCCATTTTCTATCCGTCTGCATCCGATAAGTAACTCGGTTCTATTGACTCTCCTTCTGCAATGTCTCTTGAAGCCTTTTTCTGCTTTCTGTCTCTTTTGTCACTATCATTGTAAGTCATCATTATTTTTCAACTTCATTACTTGAGTCCTATTTGATCTTATTAGGATATTAATTGTATATCTGGCTTCAAGTCTATTTTTGTCTCCATCATATTCAGAAGGTGGATGCCAAGATCATCTCCTAAAGTACAGCACCATTCATGTAGCTGAGAGAATTTAGGCTCTTGGACCAGATATATCAGGAGTCTTAGCTGAGCTTCGACACTTTCTAGATGTGTCAGTGATGCTAAGACCATTCCCTCTGAGCCTCCTTTTTTTTTTTTTCTGAGCTGAAGACTTTACTTGTGTTGTTGTGTGAATTAAATGGTAGTTCAGTAGAGAAAACAACTACCCCTATCAATAATATGTAGTCAATGAATATCTCTTTTCTTTCTGCACTCTCAGCCAGTTAAAAATCTTTCATGACTCACCATCAACTAGAGGCTAGGTGAAGCCTCTTTGTATGACATTTAAAACTCTTCTTGGCATAGAGCCTACCTTACCTGGCACATCCATGCTTTCATTTGACTACTCCCCTATCTCCCACCTCTTTATATTTGTTCATATTACTCTCTTCACCTAGTTTTTTTGTCTTCTTAAAATTAAAAATCATCAAAATTTATTTGAAAAAAAAATGTATTTGAGATCTTGCATTTGCCAAGAACAACTGACATCACTTTTAATTAGATTGAAAATAAAGTTGCTAAAAATATAAAATTTTATGACCTAATAAATGAATTTGCAAAAAGGCAAGCCAGAAAAATCTGATGGCCAATCAAGAAATCACACTAATTAAGTATTATAATTTAATGTGTTACATAAAATATGACACCAAAATATTGTCTTTTGGTATTTTGTAAGTTCATGTAATGTATGTATTACTATTATTACTTCTAATAAAAGTTCTAAAATATTTTAAAGGAAAAAAACTTTAGTACCTTTGTTGTTGTTGTTGAGTACCATTGGTTCCGTTCCAATTCATAAGGACCCTGTATAGGGTTTCCAAGGAGCAGTTGGTGAGATTGAACCACTGACCTGGAAGTTCAAACTGACCTTGCAGTCCAGTGCTTTATTCTACAGTGCCACATCAGGATCCCTTAGTACCTGTAATGAAGCTTTTTTCCTGATACTTGAACAAGGGGCCCCACATTTTCATTTTTGTACTGGTCCTACAAAAACATTGGCAGCCTTGATGGTTGGATCCTTCTCTGGGAAGCTGAAGGAAAACCCTCCAGATAGGCATATTTGAGTTCTGCCCATAAAAGAAGCTCAGCATACCCTAGAGTGAGATACAGAAAGACAGACACACACCCAGCTTCCCAATGTTTAAGATCTTACTTTTGAAAAGGAACAGAATTTCAAAGATGAATATACATTGAAAAAGAACTCCAAAATGAAAATTGCAGATTCAAAGAAGCAAACAAAAAATGGTACTTGGGGGACACAGAGACCAAAGTTGAAGAACACTTTAAAGAAGAATGAATGCCCTTAGAAATAACAAAAATCTTACACATTTGGAGCATAAACAGCATATCAGAAGCAGACAGTTTTTCCATTCAAACTACAGTTTACTTTGAATGCAGAAAGAAGGCTGTGGTGTACTAAAAAACATGCCTACCCAACGAGCTCATCATAGACTTCTTCACATGTGTTGTTGTTGGTGGTGGTTAATGTGCCATGGAGTCAGTTTCGACACATAGCAACCCTGCATAGGGTTTCCGAAGCTGTAAATCTTGATGGGAGCAGAAAACCGCATCTTTCTTCCATGGAGCAGCTGATAGTTTCAAACTATAAGCGGCCCAGCTCATAACCACTATGCTCCCAGTTACCCAGTTCTGGTTCATGGAAACTCCCTATGTGTAAGAATACAACTCACTTCACAGGGTTTTCAGCATTTGTGAGATCTTTTTGGAAGCAGATCTATCAGGGGTTTCTTCCAAGGCATGTCTGCATGGATTCAAGCCTCCAAACTTTCAGTTAACTGCTGAGTGTGTTAGTCATTTGTACTATCCAAGAACTCCTCTTATTTGTGTGATTTCCCTCTCTTATTCTATTATTCAGCTTTTATGCTGAAAATAGTTATATAGAAGCAGAGGGGAAGACAGGGCAACCTGGACTGCCTTTTCCATTCAGTCTTTCCTCACTTGTGGGAAAGCCCGAGGCATAAGGTACTGGCAGAGTCTATGCATGTAAACTAGTACAATGAAAACAACCGAGTTTGTTTTGTGCAGCAAATGCTTTGGTAAGAACAAAATACTTACAAAACTACCATGTATGAGCTAGGAAATAGGAATTGTGTAATTTCAGTGATTCTGTATATAAGTGGCATGTTCTTCTGCCTGTGTTTAAAACTGACATCACAAGAAAGGTAGAATTTATGCCAATAACTTAAATTTTTTAATTTTCTATATTTAGAATAGCATTAATTGTTATTGTTGTTGTATTTAAGTGCTGTCGAGTTGGTTCCGACTCATAGCGACCCTGTACAGGTTCCAAGGAGCAGCTGGTGGGTTTGAACTGCCAACCTTGTTTTTCAAAGTCCAGTGCTGAACATTCATTGCCACACCAGAAGGCAAAACGAAACAAAAGAAAGAAAAAAAAAAGGACCCTAACTTAAGTAAGTGACTCTAGAAGAAGGGAGAAAAAAAAAATCCACAATTTTATATTTTCATACTTTTAACAACACGTTTTTCCTATTTCTTGACTTCACATTTTCATTTTGTACTGGGCTCCACAAATTATGTAGCTGGTCCTGTACATTGTACATTTGGGAAGTTACTTCCCCATGAGTTAATAGTATTTACTCACTTGAAAATTACGGCTCAAGTTTCTGTAATTATTCCATCATTTATCATTTCTTTGAACTCCCACATGACTGTCAGCCAGAGTTCCTCCCTTCACTGGGGCATCTCATTAGAGTTAGACAACATAAAAGATAAATAAAAGAAACATTCTTCTTTTAGGTCATTTAATATTTATTGGGAATTTCAACCATAAGTTTTGATTCAGGAAAAAAAAAAAAAGACCCAATGGCCGTCATGCTAACCAACCAAGTCTTAGAACAGGGTTTGGTGGGCCATTTCCAGTCCACCATATCTTATTGTATAGCCTGGGAGCTAAGAATAGTATTTGCATCTGTCTTTCTTATTCCTTGGAAAAGCAAACAACAAAAGAAGAATATTTCATGACATCTAAAATTATTTGCAGCTCAAATTACAATTTTCACAAATAAAGTTTGATTGGGATACAGACATTTAGGTGTTGTCTGTGTCTAAATTAAGGAGCCCTGGTAGTGCAGTGGTTAAAGATTACAGCTTTGGAAACCCTATAGAATCCTATAGGGGTGCTATGAGTTGCTGTCAGCTCAATGGCAGTGGGTTGTGGTTTATGGATGAGTTTAGTAGGTTCAGCAGAGACTATATTATGGACTACAAAGCATAAAATATTAACTATCTGACCCCTGCTCTAGGAAAAAAGTCATTAACATGGGACTCATTTTGTGGATCTTCCCAGAAATCATCATTTATATGGGGGATAGTATCCTAATCCCCAATTTCTGGATCTCCAGTTTGAGGACTAAGGTGCACCTGACCCAAGCCATGGTGTTTTCAATAGCCTTATATACATGTGAAACTTGGACAATGAATAAAGAAGACCATAGAAGAATTGATGCATTTGAGTTATGGTATTTAAGAAGAATATTAAAATTACCAT